GTCCTCCCCACGTGTCCAGTCCATGCGTGTAGGAGCAGAAATAAGCCCCCGGTGCTTTTCAGTGGCTGGCTGTTCAGAAAGTGTAGCAGCTCACGGACACGGAGTCCACGGGATACTGAGTGTGCAAAGACCTGCAGTTAGAAAACCCCAAAGGAGGACCACAGGGCAGTGAGTGTGAGCGAGGTGTGAGTGTGAGCAGTATGTGAGCTGGTCAGTGAGTGAGTTGAAGCTGAGGCATGTGAGTGTGAGCATGTGGAGGCATGTGAGTGTGAGCATGTGGAGGCAGTGTGAGCCTGAGGAGTCTGTGAGTAGTGTGTGTAAGGAGGCGTGTGAGCAGTGTGTGCGTGAGGAGGCAGTGTGAGTGTGAGGAGGCAGTGTGAGCGTGAGGAGGCAGTGTGAGCGGTGTGTGTGTGAGGGGATAGTGAGCAGTGTGTGCGTGAGCGGTGTGAGTGAGCGTGTGCAAGAGGACTTTGACTTCTCAGGGTCCCAGAGCCCAAGAGCCAAGTTAGCGGTTGAGCACAAGGGAGAGGGTTTTTCATTAGAAAGCAAGGGGAGAGGGGTGGGAATTCACCTATTCCGTGGGCAGGAAACGAAACCACGTGTAAGGTGCTAGTTCCCTCCTCCTCCCGGGCAGATCCGTGTCTGTGACATGTCCCCAGAGTTAAATTTGTATCGCCAACATCGTTTTCGCCCAGGGCGTGGGAATTGAGAGAGCGAGTCTCCCTCAAAGCTACTGCCCCGAGGCAGAAGGAAACTGCTAGAGGGTCAGCAGTGCTATCCAACACCTGGGAACATGTCTCATACGTGTTCCTCGGACCACTGCACGAGCTCCTGCTTAAACAGACAAAGTGGTGCGAGCTTTGTAAGAAGGCTGGAAGGGCAGTGGTCTTCCTGCTGCCAGAGACCCGAATGTCCAGTCATCTCTATCCACCCCGTTGTCCATCACTCTGCCCACCCCACCAGGGTCCAGTCAACCCTGTAGCATCCACCACATGGACCCAGGCACTTTCTTCAGTCCACTAATGTCCAGTCCACTCCCTGGCACTGTGTGGACCTCTGATTCCCAATGCAGAGGGGCTCTGCCCTGGGCACTGGAACAATCCACAAGGAACAAACCACTCCCTGGTGTTGAGTCGATGCCGACTCGCAGTGACCAGACAGGACGGGGTGGAGTGGCCCCTGTGGATTTCCGAGGCTGCGACGCTTCACGGGTTTCATGGCGGCGGGACGGACCGGGGGCAGAATGGGCGTGGGGACCCTGAGTCAAATGAT